CACAGACCCAATCTAAGTCCCTGACATTGAACATCATAGCCAACATTTGAAAATCAGAATAGTTCATATAAAAATTCAAACTACTAGAAAGAAAAATTCAGTCTGGCAACACTAGCCCAGCACTGAGGCCGGTGTGACAGCGATTGACTGGATCGGAGTCGCCGTTGGGCCCAGAGGCAGAGTGTGCACCCTACAGGTCAATCCTCACTGCTCCCTGGGGCCAGCCTAGTGTTACCTGCTTGGCCCCCCACACATTAGAAATTGTATCACATTCTGGAGGACCAGGCAGGGCTTCCTGCATGATAGCTATTCTTCCTACAGCCGTTTAATCACATCGAAATGTGCACTGTCTTATTGCAATTGTCTGGTGAGTTCTTGGTCTTGCTTCTCGGTTAGACTGTGAGTTCTCCACGGGCGGGGACCTCAGCCCTTAGTTATTGTTATACCCAAATGCCTTTGCACCATGCCTTCCATTGACTACATCCTCAACACATTTCTGTTGGCAAGTGTTAATTTGCTTTCTTCTTCAGCAAACAGTTACACAATTCTCTATGCACTGTGCTATGTGTTACGGAGGATTCAACGGTGATGGGGCAAGTGTCTGAAGCTCAGAGAGTAGAGAATAAGGAAGTAGGAAATAAATGCACGAGTGGTATAAAATTCAAGATATATAAAACTGTACACTTGCACGTGTCTTTAGAAAAGGGCTAGGATTGGTGGGTGGGAACACTAGAACTAATTGTGATTAAACAACTCATTTTAAAATCAATTTAACCCTGAAAATAAAAGGCAAAACAAGTTCTAAAATTGATTGGGGTAGTGATTGTATACTTCTTGATATGATTGCATTATTGAATCATAGGACATGTGGATTATGTGGCAATGAAACTGAGAAAAAAAGAAACACCAGGATAAGGGCATGATACCCAGTGGTGTTGTAACTACACTCTTTTGGCTCACCTTTGCATTCCAAGGCTCATCCTCTGGACTCCGATTTTTATCTATTTATATCTGCCAGCTACTGAACTGAACCCATTTCCAACAGTTTCATAATGGCTTTATTTCTCTATGGTGAAAGGGTAGCTTGTATGAAAAGCCATGTACTTCCAGTCCCCTATGTAGAAAGTCCAACAAAATGGAAATAGAAACATACCAATACTTAACGGTGATTATAGAGAGGAGGCTTATCAGAGCTCTTGATTAGGATGGTGTGATAGTTAAAGTTTATTGTGGCAATCTGGCTGATAAACACATGTGGAATTAATTGAAGGGTGGAGAAATAAATGGCTCAGTGAGCCTCGCCCTTCTTGTTCTCTGGTCTCTTGTTCTCTGATGGTCAGACCAGTGTGCGGCTGCCTTAGCTAGTTCTTTGCTTCAACTGGCAAGGCTCACTCTCTGGGAGACATCCCTGAGGAGAAGCCATATGGACCTACCTTGATGCAGCCCTGGGTGCAGGAGCAGCTGCGTGGAGACCGCTGCCAGTGCTGAGATGTTTACAAGCTCACTGATTTGGCTTTCCTCCTGTATTTGGTGTTAATGCGTGTGTTTGGGGGGTTTGAGGAGGGCTTTGTAAATCAGTGTTGGGCATATGGGGTAAGGTCACATTTCTGGGCTTGGACTGGACTGGCTTGGGATGTTTTCTTAATGTAAACTTACCTTTTATATAAAACTCTCTCTTACATGCATATGAGTTTCTATGGGTTTGTTTCTCTAGTCCACCCAGACTAACACAGATGGTAATGTAGCAGCATGGCAGAATAAACCATCTAATGTACAAAATGGGGAATGTAATGCAGAAACCCCCTCCTGTCTTCACGAGCTGTAATGAAAGGGATGTATGAAAAGGATGTGCTTTCCTGGACCCTACTGCCAACCACACTGGGATAGATGTGAAGCAGCAAAACTTACCAGCTTGTTGCTACTTTGATAGATACAGTTTCATGAGACCTTTGCTCATGAGACCTTGCACCAGAGAGTCAAAGAAATCATAGGTTTGGGGGAGTGAGGTTGGGGTGTTAATTATAAGTATTTCAAAGAACTAAAAGATGGCAAAAGATAGTGCTTTCTTTTCAATTATTACAAATGGTATCATTAAGGAAAGGTGGCTACTGATCACTGCCAGGTACGTTTCTTTTGAGGACAATTAAAAACAAACTCACTGCCATCAAGTCAGTATTCACTCATAGCAATGCTATAGGACAAGGTAGAATTGCCCCTGTGAGTTCCCAAGACTATTTCTGGGAGTAGAACATCTTGCCTTTTTCCCGTGGAGCAGTTTGTGTTTTTGAACGGCTGACCTTCTGGATTGCAGGCCAACAATTAACCGCTACACCACACTATGCTACCAGGGCTCCAAAAAAAAAAAAGGAGAGAATTTGGGAAGAGTCAAGAATGGGCCTTTCTAAGAACCTTTGCCTGTGAGTCCTAGTGTAGCATAGGTGTCTGGAGTCTCCTCTGTAGGATCAAGTCTGGAGACTGTACAGCCCTAGGATCTACGCAGCAGAGTGTCTGAGAAAAGCCACCCTTGTTCGTTCTTCTCAGGCTCTCTTCTTCTGTTTTCCTTTTGGAAAACAACCCCCATCTATATGCACCTGCATGTGCATGTGTGCACATGCCCTTTTATGTTTTCACCAAGCCACAATGCCCCTTTTCTATTTCTAGATTTTAGTACAGCTTTTTTCTTTTTCTTCTTTTGCCTCTTCAAGTTACAGCACAAAAAGACTCGGATCCACGTAGAGCCCTGGCCCACCCCAAACCACCAGCATCCAGCACACTCGTTGGCAGTCAGTTCAGCCCTGACTACAGGGAAAACCATCTCAAGCCAACAATCCAGATTCAATACAGGGCTGTATCTTTGGGAGGGTCCAGACGCAATGTGAGCAAATGGACCAATTTGTCTTCTGGTTTCCAAAGAGAAATCTGGTAGAATGACCAGTTTGAAATTAGCCAGAAGGCTCCTGTCCAATTGCAGAAGCGGCTTGGCAGTGACTGCTGTTTCCCGGCTTTAGTTCACACATGGTCCTCCCTTTGTGCACACTGCAGGAAAAGCTAGGCTTTACGAAGGTCTGGATGCCACAGGATCCTTGTGAGTTTTAGAGAAGGGGGGAATTGGTACAAGTATTACTGTGAAACATACTACTCCCAGAGCTGACAGTGCTGAAGGAATTCTTTCTCTTCAGTATAACCAATTTTGAAAAAGCATCGGCCGCTACAGAGATGATTCAATCTTTGCCCTGGTGTTTGAGGTGCGGTTACCTCCAAAACTCATCGATACATCTTTCTGAGGTTTTCATGTCATCCAACCACCAGACCAACTAAAGATTTGGCCAGACAATTGTCAAGATGACGCTATCCTTAGAATATACATGTATCTATACATCTGAACGAGTATATAACTGAGCTTTTTATCCAATATCTTGAGGAGTGAAATCAGCTTAGCTCTTCAGAGGTCAGGCCACTGAGCTGTGATTTTTGGACTGTACACAATCTGGATGATTAACATCTTCCCAAGTTTTGTTTTGTGGATTTCTAGAGGATCTCATTTATCTGAGGAATTACAAAAAGTTGAGAATCTTTTTGTCTGAAATTCTCTTGGAATAGGAATGGTTTTCTGAGATGTACTTAATTCCTAACCTCGTGTGGCCATGGTGCAGAAATACCAAACGCTCCTCTTAAGGAGTTATTCTCATTAGCAGAATGTGTTTCTGTGTGGTCTCCCCAGACAACCATGAAATCTACTTATTTCTTATGTAATAAGAGAATTACCATGGAATTCTACTCACTGGGCGGGAACTTTGTGTTCCTTACGGTCTTTCAGTTACTAACTCACGATTAGTATTCGACAAATGAATAACATGCATGTGCATGATCATTAAACTATTCATTTTAGTAACTGTTATCACCTTCTATGGAATTGCGG